AGACAGGGGACATACAATCAGGGAGGTCCAGCTACACCAGGAGCCAGGATCCATTCCAGACTCCACCACAGTTTGGTCAGTTCCGGCAGCCAAGCCCAATGCAGGGGAAGAAACCGCAGGAAAAGTTTGTGAATCCATTTCTTGTTACCAGAGTGGATAAAAATCAGTTTTAAAAAAAAAATTGGATATTTTTTATTTAAATCGGATTTTTTAATAAAATGCTTTGAGGAAAATACCTCTCACATCATGGAATAGGGATTATAAATTCTAATTCTATAGTACGAGACAATATATTCATGTAATGTTTAAGAAAAGTTTTGTAAATGAGTTCATGGATTAGGGACCCAATCTTACAGAGTTAAATTACAAGCATAAAAAAAAAAACACAAATGGGACAAGCACTATCTCTAGCTCATTTTCTTGCAAATACTCTCAATACTTGGTACCAGGATGAAACCTTAACTGCTGAAGAAGAGGAGTTGGCTATGACATGGACATCCAGCAATCATCCCTCCATAATGCCAACTATAAGAAACTTTAGAGCTAAGGGTGAATCATTCAAGAAATATGTCTGCTGCTGATGTTTTAAAGAAAGTCACACAAGTGAACTGGTGGAAGTCACTTAAGCACTTGGATTCAGAGACTGTTGAAGTGATAATCTCACTTTTAACAGCAGTAGCTTCTTCTGCCAGTGTAGAAAGAATATTTTCTTCCTTTGGACTAATTCATTCCAAATTGAGAAATCGTTTGGGACCTGAAAAAGCAGGAAAGCTTGTTTTTCTTTTCCAGATTATGAACAAACAGGAAAATTAAGGTGAAGTCGACTGAGTTAACTGCAGAAGCCAATATTTTAAATTTATCATATTGACCTGGCTGACCTAGTCGATTTAAATTTTTTTTTAATATTTCATTTAACTATTTTAGTTAACAATTTTAACAAAAACAAACCTATTTTAAAAAACTTGAACATTTAACTGAACTCTAAAATTCATACCTTTGTTTTGTTAATGGCAACAAAATCCTCCAAATATTAATGATTAACCTGTTGAACTGGAGATAGTTCACCTCCCAATGACTTCATAAATATCTGCTTCAATTACCTTTGGTAAATGAATATAACCGAACAATCATTCATTTTCTAATATAGCTGTAAAACTAATCTGAAAAGTTTTCAAAATAAATCACTTTAAAAATGTACAGTGTGTACCTTTTAAAAAAGGAATGTACCTCTGAGTTGTGAAGAAAATGTATTAAGGTTATACCAACCAATAAGTATGCACTTTTATATAAAAATCCATGATTAAACCAAGTCTTCCTGACTAGTGATTTAAATCAAATCCACCCTGCATGTTACAATGTTTAAGTGTACAGATGACGCCGAACCCCTACATAGCAGGGCACGAGTACTGACTTCATTAACATACTCAAACTAGAACAGGTAGCAGTACAACAGAGGCAGAGTTGGTATTTGCTTTCTCACATAACGTTTGCTTATGTACACAAGGACATCCCTTGAGAGATCTTGATAAAACTTTCATAGAGCTACACTGCAATCCTCTGCCAAAGGTTTCTAGGGATGGTAACCTTATTTCTTCCTCAAAAGTAATGAGCCAGTCCACAATGACTTGGGATGCCACCTTTGAAGTAAACAAGCCAGCAGCATATAGGACCAGGTGGCTTCAGGATGCCAGCAGCAGCTGTGTTTTCTACATCTTTGTTACCCTTAAGAGCAAGATATCAGCTAAAACCACCACCACCTGTGGAAAAAACAGTGCCAGTGCTCCAGGCCACTGCCCTACACTCATACCCCTGGGAATAAGAGCCAAAATTTTATTTTATGATTTATTATTTTAAGAGCCAAAATGTTACTGTACAGGGAGAGTTCAATCTACCAAAACCACATTCAGTGGTTATTCTGCACCTGTTGAGCTAGCAGTTGAATCTTTTCCTTGATGCTACTGAGGTGGCCAGTGTGTAGCATCATGAACCAGGGAAGCAAGGGGTAAGCCAGATCCCCCATGATCACTGTAGCACTGACAATACTGAAATGCCAAATCTGCTAGCCAGGAAAGAACATCCCTGTTTGCAGCTTTCTGAACAGTCCTGCATTCTTAAAGATGAGAGCATCATGCACCTTCCCTGACCAACCAGCACTGATCACTGGCAAAGCATCCCCAGTGATCCATCAGCACTTGCATATCCATAGAAGAGTAGCCCTTTCTGTTGATACACTCTGTGCAAGGTAGGCTGGTGCTAAAATAGGGATGTGTGCACCTTCTATCACCCCATCTCAGTTCAGGAATCCCACTTCAGCAAATCCATCCACCATCTCCTGCACACTACCAAAACAGACACTCTTGTATAGCAGGCGCAGGAAACTATTAATAGCCCTCCCTACACACTTGCATGACAAGGGTCCCCACTGTGGATTTTCCAAATCCAAAATGATTTCCCACTGATTGATTGCAACCCTGGATTTCTAACTTCCACAGAGTGATCGCCACTCACTTCTCCACTGCCAGTGCAGCTCTCAGTCTGGTGTCCTGGAGCTGGAGGGCAGCAGCAAGCTTGGCACAGTCCCAAGCACAGGGACATGGCATTGTGTGTCTGAAAGTTCTGCAGCCAATGCTCATCATCCCAAGCCTGCTTTACAATGCAATCCCACCAGTTAATGCTTGTTTCTCAGGCTCAGAAGCAGCTCTTCTCCACCTGCAGCTGATCTACGCCATCAACAACCTTGAATTGGTTTTCACTGTGTCCCTCAGCAATCTATCCTCTATGAAACAAAACCTTAGCAGCAAAGGACATTACTTTCTATGGCTCTACAAATACTGGAGGATTGTCTGTCCTGTGTTTGCAATACTCATGACAACAGAGCAGAGCTGTGTGAGCTCCATAGTTCTTTTAGAGAGGACTGACAGCAAGAAGTTCTGTGCAGTTTCACAGGATTTTTTTTAAAGAGGCATGAAAATTATGAAATAGATGAAGTTGCATAATAGGAACTTGACTCCTTGCTCCCAATCACTCCCACACAACTCGCTTCTGTCCCACCATGCATGCCAAAATTTCTCAAGAGACTATGTGCCAGACAATGGGAAGTTGCACACTGGAATACCTACCCATGGTGCATCAACACAGGCACTCCTGGTGAGTCTCACAGCACCAATTCAATGAACCAAGAATGCACAAGCAATATACTAACTGCAGAAGCTCTACTGCATAACTTGTATCAACCAAGGTTTCTAGCACAAATATGGCCTTAGGCACCACTGCAATCCACAAAACTCCTGCTTGGCTGTAGGCACCTAAACTCAGTGGCGCCTCAAGAGCTCCCTCTGGGCATGTGCACTGCAATCTCCCCCCAAGCCCCAGATCAATCCACAAACTGGGGGAAAAATAGATGTAGCATGCCTATCACACATACAGGGCCCAGAGGCCACCTACCAGATCAGGTCCCATTCAAAAACCCAGCTGGAGGAGGAGGCGGCAGTGTCCATGTTATAACTTAGCCCAGTGGTTAGAGCACTCACCTGGGATATGGAAGATGCAAGTTAAATTCTCCCCATCTGCCAAGGGAGAAGGGGGAGGGAAGAAGAGGATTTGGTCTCCCATCTCTCAGAGTGCACTAAGCACTGATCTATGGGACATTCTGATGTGGGGCTTCCTCAATCTCTCCTGTTAAAGCTGTTCCACTGAGGATTTAAAAAAAAGTTACTGGACCAGGGGAGTTGGACCATAGTCTCACCCAGTGGGTGCCCTAACCATCAGGCTACAGAGTCACTCTCTCTCTCTGGGCCAATGGCTTAAGTATTTATCCAAAGTGCAACACAAGATTTTAGACCAACTCACCTTCCCACAAGACATGCAGATAATTAAGTTCAAAGATGAAGCCAGAGAATTCTAACAACGTTTTAATTTGTATCTACATAAGAGGGACAAAAGTTATGCTTCTTTAAAAGTTTAGCGTAAGCTGTCTGCCATTTCCATATCTAACTGGGGTACTGCAAAGATGTTAATGTTTGTATAATCTTTTGAGCAAAGAGTCTTGTTCCAGTTATTAACTGAGTAGCATCTAAACTGATTTTTATGTAGCTATGCCAATATACTATCCCCAAAATTATCAGGAAGAATACAATAACTGCAAAATAATTTCTAAAAGGGGGTGGTGGAGAATCATTGCTGTGGAGTTATACAATGAAAATTTGGAATCTTTAAGATCAAGCCATTTTGGAAATACAGATGGGGGAGGGGGAATAAAATACACCAAGATTGAGGGCAGGGGAAGAAAAAAAAAAGAGAGAGATTTTTGGAAGTAGTGTTTGAAAACTGGATTTGTAAATGGACTTTGTAGCTTATAATCATCAATCTTAATTATGGCAAGCTACTGCCAATCCATAATGCATTTCACCTTCAAGTACAGGTTACCCTCCATTATCCTTATTGACCTAATACTATCAGTTATACTATATGTCAACATCTAGAGCAAGAAACTAAAGTCTCCAAAGTCCTCCTCTTTTGCTTAAGATCCTATTTTTAAAATGTCAGTGAGAGTCTAGTTTCTCGTTATATGCCTCACTAGTTATATACTTAATATCATGAATCTGTATCTTAAAGTATGAGATCTTTGTAAGAATCCACACTATGCACTTCAATAAAAGTTCTCACTAAATGTAAACTATTAACTTGATTTTTTTTCTTATAAATAAAGGTTCACCGTCGTTGGAAGGTGCCTGCCCTTGGAAGCTCATAGGCTTCTGCGGCGCTTCACGCTCCATTGGACAGGTACCCAGTTCTCTACGCTGGTCTCTCACCGGCCCCAGGCAAGGGCGGCGACGGGCTCGCTCAGCGCTGCTCCCCCGGGCTCCTGCCACAGCCCGTAACGCCTGCTCCCGCCGCCGCCGCCCGCTGGGGCGCAGAGCTCGGCTCACCGCCCCAGCGCATCCCGCGCGGACGGCTCCGAGAGGCGCCGGAAGGCCGCTGGGACCCGGCTCCCCGCTCACCTGCAGCGCGAGCAGCTGTCGGTCCGGCCGCCGCCAGGCGCCCACCACCATTTGGCGCAAGGACGCCGCCATCGCCGCCGCTAGCCGGAGCCCTGCTTGCCCTTTCACCTCGGCGACTGGGGGGGTGGGGGTCAGCGGTCCGCGCTCAGCCAATCAGGAGCGCCGTCTTCCCTCGCTCCGCCCCCGCGCCAGGCCGGCACTCAGGCTGTGGGAAAGAGTCAGGGAGAGCGCGCGCCGCTCCTTCCCCGCCTCGCGCCCGTCATCCTCGTGCCTCGGAGGAGCCGGGTACGCGGGGATTCCCCGAGAGCGCGGGGCTGCTGCGCGCTCCCGGCAGCCCAGAGCTGCCCCGCCCACAGGTCTCTGCCACCCCCTGCCCCGCTGGAGCCGGCGCTCCGGCCACAGGCGCCGCGAGCGTGACGTGGCCGCGCGCCGGGGCGAGGCTGCGCTTTCTTCCCCGGGCTCGCGGTCCGTCGCCTGGGCACCGAGGCCAGGCTCCGCCGGCGGCTCTTGCAGCCGCGTCCCCAGCGCGGGGAGCCCCGAGCCAGCCCGGGCGGGCTTGGGAGTGGTGTTGGCGAGTGCACCGCCTGGGACCGCCCGGCTGTGAGGGCGTCGGGCAATGCAAGCCCAGGAAAGCATCCTGCCCCTCCGACCCACTGTGAACGCTGCCTAGGAGCTGCTGGCTTCTCTTCCCCCGCGAGGGAGGGCAGCACCTCGGGACTGGTCACGCGGTATTAGCCCTGGGTGCTGTTCCCCCTCCCAATCCACACGGTGTCCACCACAGCCAGTAAGGTACATTTTGTACATCCAGCGCTGCTTGAGTGTCACTAGTCTGGCTGCTAGTTAGAGAGTTTTCTAGCCTAAATAAATTAATAGTATAAAACCCTTCATCCACCCCCCTCTGGGAGGTGATAGTACCACCCTACTCAGCACTGGTTAGGCCTCAGCCCGCAGAACTGTGTCCAGTTTTGGTCACCAACAGATAGAAAGGCTGTAGAGAAACTGGAAAGGATCCAGAGGCCAGCGACAAAGATGATCAAAGGGATGGAATGCAAGCCCTATGAGCAAAGGCTGAAGGAACTGGGCATGTTTAGTTTGTAAAAGAGGAGATTAAGGGGGTATATGATAGTGGTCTTCAAATACTTCAAAGGCTGCCATAAAAAGATGGAAAAAAGTTGTTCTCTTCTGCCACAAACTGCAGCACAGCACCTTTAGATTAAATCTCAGGAAAAAACTTCCTAACTGTAAGAACAGTAGAACAATGGAACAGACTGCCTAGGGAGGCCTTGTAAGCACCTTCACTCGAAGTTTTCAAAAAGAGGCTGGATTGGATAGCCACCAGTTTTGGGTGGTTTAGACCAGTGATACTCATGCATCCAATGAAGTGAGCTCTAGCTCACGAAAGCTTATGCTCAAATAAATTGGTTAGTCTCCAAAGTGCCACAAGTACTTCTCTTCTTTTTGCGAATACAGACTAACATGGCTGCTACTCTGAAACAACTCACACCTAAGTGATTCAAGAGCCAAATTAGCGATCAATATCACCCAAAAGAGCCACAGTAGTGTAAATTCATTGTTTCATTTACAATATATTCTTATTTAAACAGTATGATGGGAAATATTTGCTTGTTATGCTGATATATATTATTCTGAGAGCAAAATGAGTATTATTTTATCAACTACAATTAGTTAATAACAAGGTAAAATCATCCCGGTTGGTTAATAATTAGATCACACGGTGTTTTAATATGTGCTGCAAAGAGCCTCAGGGGACACTTGTGAACCTGAGTCTTAGTATCACTGGCTAAGACACAACAAATCCTGCATCTTGGGAGGGGGTTAGACTAGATGACCCTTGCAGTCCCTTCTAACTCTATGGTTCTATGATTCCATTATCACTGGAATCACTATGGGAAACATTTCCAAAGGGCCTCAGGTGGGGGGCTCTGTAAAAGGCCTGGGTCCCCACATTTGTGCACTCAGACAGAATGGGAATTTCCAAAATAGAATGGAAGTAATACTGATTCATTAATTAGCGGTATAAAAATAAGTGCAGTAATGGTAAAGAGTAGAGAGGATAACTGGGATGCATGTATTTACTCTTTCCCCTAATAAAAAAAACAAGGGCATATTCAGTAAATGTGAAAGGCAACTAATTTAAAACAGAGAAAAGAAAATACTTTTGTGTGCATTATGAAATTAATCAGTGGAACTTATTGCCACAAGATAATGTTTAGCCTAGAACAGCACAAAAATGGACATTTATTCAGAAAATATAGATAGATGCATAGTTATATTTAATGGGTCTAAAAAGCTTGGAACAAATTAAACCCTCATGCTTCTAGGCACAAACCAACCTCTCTTTGAGAGGGTTAAGGAAAAAACTTCCTTTATAGTCAGATTATTGCATACTTTCACTTTTCTCTGACACATCTGCCACGGTTGGACACAGGCTACTAGGCTAGATGGACCGATGGATTGATCTGGTACATAATACTAATTCCTATGTACTAATCCTATAAATTTATAGTAAATTCTCTGTTTCTCTCAAATGTACATAGAATCAAATCCTGCCTTCATGCTATCTTTTTTCAGAGTGCAGAGACTCGAGAATAACCAATGAGGGGGTGCTGCTTGAATATCTAACCTGTGCTTCCTCTGACAATTAAAATATGAGCACCAACAGCAGCTGCTGAGTGCATCTGAGCCCTTCTGGAACTTCTTTTTGGACACTCAGTCCAGACCATGCCCTTGTCCCAGGCCTTTGGAGTGCTCAGATATATTTGGGTTCAACCAGACACAACCTTTGTAAATTCCCTCCAGGACTTTTAACTCCAGTTTGTGCCTCTAAATGGATGCTCAGACACCTGTTTGTACCTACCCAGGATGCTAAAAACTTTGGCCTAGATTTATTAATTTTGTCATCTCTTTTCTAACTTCTCATGGCAATAAATTTACTGAAATTGCACAGACAGAGAAGACGCAGAATGGTGGACAGTAGAATACTAGTTTTATCCCTGCTGCTTACTAAAAGACAAAGATGAGTTATGTGCCTCTTCCTCATATAAATTGAGCTGTTAGAATAAAACTGACATTTCATTGTTGCTATTTCATGTTTCATATTTATATTATTAAAAATGCTTACTCAAGCCATACAGATGTAAATAATCTAATCGCAAAAAACCTTTATTGTCTAAAAGCATGTCATAATATATTTAATCCATCAGTGTCACAGATAAATCCATTTAACAATAAAGATTCCACTAAAAATACCCTGCAAACAACCACTCCAATTTCTTCCACCCACTTTCCCTGGAAAGTCCGAAAGTCACTGAATTAGACCAGCTGCAGAAGAGAGGTCTAGAGTAAATGTCCCTCACTTCAGGGTTTAAATGAGATATTTATTTCTATCTAATCTACACCACTGTATAATGTCATTAAACTATATAACAAAATTCTGAGACATGGATGTGAGTTCCTCCTCAGTATATATTAAAAAAAGAGTCACCTGACATCACACTGGTGTTTTCTTTTGCTCCACAGAAGGGGTTCTGTTTGCAGGCCCTCCTTTAAGCATAGGCAACCTCCTACAGTGCCACATCAAAGGAGGCACCCCACAGTTGCAAAGGGAAACTGACTAGGATTACACAGAGGCATGGCTGCAAAGAGAAACTTTGCAGTCAGCTGGGTGTATAAAGAACTTGATGCAGTAGGAAACTGACTAGTGTAAGTCCTTTTTCTTCTGCAGCAAGGGCAGGAACACTTTACTTATGGAAGGGACAAGAGAGAAAGTGTAGAAGAATCCCAGTCAGTTCTATCTGTATTTCAAGCCTTTCTGCTTTTTAGAGTGATTTAACTTCGGCTTTCTGCCTATATTTTTTTTTGTATTTTTTTATTTATAAAATTTTATATCATAAGCTACATGCATAGTCTTTCTAAAAAAGACTAATTGTACATAAATAAAAAAGAAAAAATACATAATTGATTAAAATTATACAGTTATTGTTGCCAAATTTACAAGAACAATAGGGGGTCAACTCTTGTAAAAACTTCCCACTCGTTAAAGGCATGAATTTTAAAAAGTACCATTCAAAGTCAAGGATATCAAATTTGTTTATAAAATCTAAAAAATAACATTTCATAGACATGCCTGGTCTATTAAATATGTGTAATAGCAGATTTCACTCAAGTTCATAAAATCACTGGAAACAATATGTCCCAGATGTTGTAATGATGCTCACTCTAATATGGTAACACCTTGTAAAATAAAGAGATCTGATTACTATATTACTGTAAAATGTCTCTTTAAACCAAAGCTTATTGTAGTAATGATTATTGTTTTGTTTTTGATATTTACATGTGATGGATTTATAAACCTGTTAAAACTTCCTAAATAAATAGTTTTTTAAAATTGTAAAATCTAGGCCCTAATCCTGCAAACACTTTAGAACATGTGTAACTCTACTCATGAGAACAGAATCAGTTATTGGGGCTATTCACATTCATAAAGTTCTGCATGTTCAAAAGTGTCTGCCAGATTGGGACCCATATCATTTTCTCAGTATGCCCATTGGTTGCAAAAAAACCCTAAATTTTAGATATTATAAATCGACTTGCTTCTTCCTAATCAGAGAATTGGTGAGCTTTTGTCTTCGAACATAACGCTGAATTTATCCAGAAAAATTTAAACTGCTGTAGAATGATTTAATTGTAAGTTACAACTCAGGAAAGGAAAATTCATAGTGTAATTGTAATCTTCATGTCTTGTACCTTATCTAACAAAGAAAATAGAATATGAGATTTATAGGATGTAAAAACCTTAACAGAAAAGTCTGTGCCTAAATGACTCAAAGCTAGAAGAAACTTTAAGTATTAAGAATGTGTTACATACTCTGTAATCCATGTTCCCTTCTATTAGCATTCTATTCAATGGTCTATGAGAGACAGATTCAATCTTCCAGTCAGCCAATACATCTATCTATTAAGTTATTTACGAGAGATCTGGAACAGCATCAAAGATATGTAGGACCAAATTCATCTAAATGCAGCCTAGTAAGCAGGGGCAATTCCTGGAATTTTCTGAACCAAATTCAGAGTGACATATATGTTACACGTTAAATGTATATTGGTCAAAAACGTGTAAAGT